CGATCCGCGACACATGGAGGGTGGCTGAAGGGTGGATCCCAGGAAGTTGACCATCGACGACAGAGAGTTAAAGGGGAAGTTGGCAAAGTTTACGAGACGGCCACGGTATTTGTCGAGGGTTAAACCGAGGGGGCAGGATCGGACCCAAGCTTGTCGGAAGTTATCCCCGGCTCCCTCGGGATGGCCGACGGTAACTATCGCGAAATTGCATCGTTCCAATGATCGAAACTCCAGTAGCTGGAACGCGTGTACACTTTCAGGGGGGGGAGTCCTTGGCCGTCGTTAATGCACCGTGGGGGACGCGTGGCGCGGATATCGTCGACAATTCCATGGGTGTCGGCTCCATTGTCGGTGGCTGAGTTATGGTGGCCGTTGGACCACCACCGTCGGTGACGAATTTATGGCGGTCGAGTTTACACGTGGATGGAAGAGTAAGTTGCGTGTTCTCATGGTGGATATTGGTGGAGGGATGTTGGTGATGATTTCTGACGATTTTTTTTTTTTGATAATCAGGTAATTGTAATGAATGCAAACGATAATTCGAGTGCATTCGAGTTTTTTAAAATTTTTGAATTATAGTGTCGAATAGTTGAATAGAGATTAATTTGAGGTCAAAGATATCGGATATTAGATGTTACGCGTTTTAATGGAATTTTGAAGATGGATGGGTTCATACTTAAGTATAAATTGGAATTTAATGGTCTCTTTATGAGAATTGATGAGAATTCTATGGTAAATGCGAGAAGAGGTTAAATGTGATGAAGTGTGTACTCGATTATTTTTTATTTTTTTATAGTTTGGAAAATTTTGCGATAGAATTCATCAAAGAATTCTAGGAAAAATTGATGTTTGGTGAAAAAATAGATCTCTTTTTTTTCTTCTTCTTCTTTCAATTCCTCAAAATTTCTTCCTCAAATTCGTTTGCATTTCACAAATGCGATATAAATTGGACGATTGTTCGATACTGTTTCTAAGATGTGACAAAAAAAAAAAAAAAAAATCATAATACAGGATGAAATTTTGAAAGCGGTATATTTTATTATTTTACCCGGTTATTGCAAATGGAAATTGCTGGTGTACCGATCCATTTCCCAACGATTAATCATTGTCAACCACGATTCGTTTCCTGTCTCCGCCCAGCTCACTAAATTTCGACCAGACACTGTCAATGAAAAGCAAATTGACGACCGCGTATATAACTTTGACTCTCGCCGATCTGGCCGCGATTAATGGGTCACTCGCTTCATTTTCAGATTCGTCGAAATAAACTGTCTATTTGCGTATTTCAATCCTTATCCTCTCTCTCTCTCTCTCTGTAAATTTCCAACGAATGCTTGAATACTTGCTTGCTTGGAATTTTTTTTTCTTTTCTTCTCTCTTCTTCAGCAAAACTTGAAAACTTTTTGTTTGAAAAATTTTTTAAAATCAAGTTAAATACATGTGTTATTTGCTGAAAACAAAAGTTTGGCGATATATTTCTTAAAGATATTTAAGAATTAAAAAGAAAAAGGATCAGATTCTGATGATGATATTAATTTCACGTCAATTTCTTTTTTTTTTTTTTTCTACTCTTCGATAGAAAAGGAATAAATTTATTATCGGTAAATATTATGCCAGAATAAATATTTTCGAAACTTTGGTTGATTTAAGAAATTTTATGCTAATTTTAAGATAGTGGAACGCCTCTTTATACAAGTTGAGGTTGCTTAAATATTCTTTTTAAACTTTAAGCCAACTGATTTGTAAGTCTCGTTATGAATATTATACGCCAAACTTAGAATTTTTTTATTTATACTATTACTAACTTTTACTAATTAATTCGTCATTAACAATTTCATTAAAGATCAACGATCGATTTTTCAAAGATAATCGTTCTTTAAACGCTGCTTAAAAATTTTTATTTCCTATCCTAATTATTAATTCGTAAAAAGCTAATTCAACGATATATCAAAAACTCGTTGGTCAAAAATTGCTATATATATATATATAATTCAACATAATGCGTATTACTCGTTCGAAAAATTCATTCATCGCGATCCCAATATGCATCGAAAATAAGAATCGAGCAATATTTGCATAGAAATTTGAAAATTAGAAAAGTTTCGAGAGGGGAGAGAGAGAGAGAGAGAGAGGAGGACTA